ATTCAAAGAACCTATTGCAATAAAACGGCAATTTCATACTTTAACCCATTGACTTACAATTATATGGACGTCGGGTCCGCGTTAAAAAGTGTCCGCACTTGTAAGGCGCTAAAATCGTATACAGAGCGCGACACTCCGCTTTAGTCTTCATTTGTTCTACTGACAGCGCGATACTGCGATGACATTACAATTTAAATTTCGAATAGGTTGACTTGGGACATTTTTTTCGTGGTTTTTGTGTTAGACCCGTCGTCCATTTATTTGTAAGTCAATGCTTTAACCCCTAATATTATTACACTGTTCGTTATATGGTTCCTGAGGGCCCACATTTAAAAACGTAAATTAATTAAAACATTTATATTATTTATCCGCAAACTTTAGTAAAAATCACAACGAAGTTTGTAAAAGCAAAAGAAAACCAGAAATGCTGCACAGACATTCCAAAGAGTCATGGACGAGTCTTCAGAGACTTGTATGAACCGATTATTACCTCGAAGGACGAGATCCAGCACGAACAGTACTTGCGCGTAGTTTTCGAGCATTTGCGCGAATATGATGTAGTCATTAATACTGCAAAATCTATTTTTGACGTTGCTGAAATTGAATTTTTAGACTTTCTGGTAACGCTGTAGAGATAAAGCCAACCGCACAGAAAGTTAGAGCCATTCTTGATTTTGTGAAGCCATATAGATAAAGGAGCTTTGCCGTTTCCTCGGTATGCTCAATTTTTAATGACGTTTCACCCCGAATGCTGCCCAAATTCTAATATTAACACCAACTGCTTCCTGGCAAGTCAACCACTTCAAAAACACCGGTTTCATGGACAAAACAATTAGAAGAATTTTTCAACGCTAGTAAAGAATGTGTAGCTAAAGTAACTTTACTTGCTCATGCAAAACCCAAGAGCTTCCGAATTAGCCATGGTTACTGATGCCTCAGATTTCTTGATCGGCGCTGTACTCTAACAAAGAAAAAGAAGAGTTCGCAACATTTGGCCACCTTCAGGATTTTTCTCCAAAATGCTTGATACCGCTCAGTGTAAATGCAGTCCATATGACAGAGAATTCCTAGCTGTTTATGAAGCTGTCAAATATTTTAGATTCATGCTCGAGTTAAGACCATTCACTATTTTCACTGACCACAGGCCTTTAGTTTCTGCTTTTCGCAAGGCTTCAGAAAATTGCTCACCCTGACAGTTTCGATATCTCTATTTCGTATCACAATTCACTTCTGACGTTCGGCATATTACAGGAGAAGAGAATGTTGTTTGCGGACGTTTTCTCATGCGTCGAAATTATCACCTGTGCGATCGATCAGGAACAGCTAGCTTTGGTTCAGAAAACTGATAACGAACTCCAACATCTTCTTTACAGAAATAATAATTCGCCTTACAGAAATTTAACGTTACTGTTATCAGGAAGGCATACTGCGACCTTTCGTGCCGAAAACCGTCTGTACTTGACTCCAGGTTTTCGTAAGCAAGCTTTTGACTCATACACGGTTAGAGCCATGCAAGCGCTGAGGCAACCACTAAATTGGTTAACGATAGGTACATTTGGCCTTACTTATGCAAGGATTGCCAAAACTGGGCCCGAGCAAGCATCGCTTATCAAAAATCAAAAGTTTCAAGGCATACCTAAATATATATATAATCCAAGCTTTCAATCCTCCTTCATCCAGATTCGCTCACGTTCACATACACCTTATTTGCCCTGTACTACCTAGTCAAGGTTTTAAGTATTTTATTATTATTATTAAATATTGTCTTACTGCGGTTGATTACACTTTGGTCAGACGTATTCCCATTTCAAGACTTTAAAGGCGAAACTGTCGTACACGCGTTCTTCTGTGGCTGGATTTCTCGTTTCGGATGGATGCAAAGAATCACAACCGATCGAGGGACTCCTTGCAGTTTAGAAACCTCTCGAAATTGACTGGTTCCGATAATTCGACCAAAACCGCTTACCATCCGGCTGCCAACGGCTTAGTTGAAAGGTTCCACCGACAGCTAAAAGCTGCTATAATGTGCCACGCTAAAGATGACTGGTACGAAGTTCTCCCGGTTGTGCTCCTAGGGATTAGGACTGATTGGAAGGAAGATACATCACCATCGTTCGCCGAGCTAGTTTATAGAGAGAGCCTCTTTGCCTATCAAGTGATTTATTTAATACTTCTCCGACCGAAGGCACTGACTACTCTGATTTCTTATTTTGTTTACGAACACATGTTCGCAAGTTGAAGCCAAGGCCTGTTATTAGACATGGTCGACGTGACGTATTTGTACACAAAGATCTGCAACACTGTCTTTCTTAGACAACATTTTATTAGAAAACCCTTACCACCGCCTTACTCAGGCCTACACAGAGTCGTTGGAAGAGTGGACAAAGTATACAAAATAGGTCTCGGAGGAAGAACTACCACTGTATCAATCGACAAGATCAAGCCTGCCTACACTCTCAACGATCCCGACTGTCCTCCGAGTCAGCTAAAGCCTTCGCTTCTTTTTCAGCCTACAATGTGCCCTTCGTTGTCTGTACAGCGTCTTATAACTATCACGCGCTCTGGTAGACGCATCCGCTTCCATCAATTTTATCAACCTTAATAAGGTCTTGGGATAGCCTGATGTGGCGACCGGCAGTCTTTATTTTGTTTGACATTTATCTTGCTTGATGTGTCAGTGTTATTGTTTATTGTGAATATAGTGAAATTATTATGTGGAGCAAATTTTCAGTTTTATTAATGCCCATACCAATACTAAACAATTTTGATTGTTTTATCATTGTAACATAATATTCTTAAGGAAAAACGAATAAAAATCAAGATAATAGGATTAGAAAAATCACTTTACTTGAATGTTCTCAAGTTTCAACTAAGAATCATAATCTCAAAGACAATTCTGTTTTACGCTTCTTCAAATTCGCCAAACAGGAAAAATAATAGATATCTTATACTCTGGTTTCATGTCAATCAATCAGTGAGAAGTGCAATTTATATTCTAGGAAACTAATCAGATTCTCATTATATAACTCAATGTCTTTGACTATATAAAAATGTCACTACTGCTGAATAGTTGTTTAAGTCTAACAAGTGAGTACTGCTCAATCAAAAGGGGTACTGACCCATATCTTCTACTAAGATATGTATATACAGCCCTCCCCTACCCAACCTTTTGGTGTTACTTGTAACCCGCATATGGACTTCATCAGTCAGGTCCTTCAGGTAAACCTACGCGGATTGAAGGACCGGAGGATGTCTAGCTCATCATCTACTAGCTCTCCTAGTGCCGGAGATGTCGGACGCAGTGTCCTGTGATTATGTCCGGACATAGCTTCCGACTTAAAGGGCAACTCACGTGCCCCGCGCGTCTCCTTGCCTTAGGCCCTCGCTAGACTAGTCTGTTAGCTACGCACGAGACAGACGCCCCGGCCACATACTACCGGAGTAGCTGAACATGTACGTCTCTGTAGCTACCACAAGCCCCAGTGAGTAAATTCCCAGAATCCGGGTTCACCAGAGACGCCTGAGAGGTGTATCACTGGCTTGGCCCGAGAATTCCCAATCTCTCGGGTCGGTAGACAGGGACACATACACAAAAGAAGAACAATGATTTTAAGAGTTCAAAGATCTTACTAGTATCAGAGCAGCTCTGGTGGCCTTTCTGGCTGCTAGAGAAGCGTGCTGGTTCGGCGCTGGGTGAAGCTTGGTCAGCAATACTCGTACTACGTTCACCAGGAATACTATAACAATTTATTTATTAAAAGAGTAAATTATAACAAATACGTTACAAAAGACAAAAGACAGGTGGAACATTCGGCCTTATTCCGAATTACAGGATATTAAAGATAATATTTAATTGAGGGCGTAACAAATTCTTCTAAATACGAATTTAATGCATATATATTATCGTATACTTATTATAGTTCAATATTATCTACACAAGATTATGTATGACTATTATGGAAATACAGTGATATATAATGAATGAAGAGCTGCAACACTCAAACAAACATTTCTAGGCTTAAGAGTGCCAAGAACGTAAAGTATATTAATATCTAATAAAAAATTGAAATAAATTAAAAACTAACAATAATAAATTAAATAAATAGGTAAGAACAGAGGGGCACTATTAGAAACAGAGTAAGAATAGAAGAAACGAATAATTAGTTAGAATAAGGAAATATAGTGTAATTTCAAACTCTTTCGTATTTGAACTCGTTTAAAAAGAATATTACTCAAAGAAGCCAGCAAAAGTTTTCATAAAGGAATGATTTAAAAATGTCAGTGAACGAACGAATTTCATTAGCCACAAATACTATATTATATTCTATGGGGTTCTATTTCCGTTGAGGCTTTTGTCGACCTAATTTAACAATTGAGCGAAAGATTAAACTATGTGGTCTGTGGATTAAACTAATGATAGACTTCTGTAAAAAATATTTCTCCAATATTAAGTTCATCGTCAAGGACATACACGACAAAGGATGATTCTGACTTACATACGACCAATAATATCAAATTTGTAGACCGAATTACAATCTTCGAATAGTGGCCCAGAAAGTGTTAAAATGTACCGCGTCATCCAGCAAGATAGGTTGACGTCGTTTAAGTCGCTGGTTGTCGGTCAAAGTTGGAACTAGCCCAGGATCACGATGGATAGTACTAGCTAAGGTAGGCCTGCACCACAGTATAATACGACAAGTATGGTAACTCCATAAAAACGTCGCAGCGCGGCATATATGTGAGCACGCCGCGTACAGAGGCACACATTCGCATAATCTCGTGCTGTAATCGCGTAGCGCAGCGCGGATCATTCAAATTATACAACTGAAGCGGTCGCTAGGTGTTTAAAAAATGACTTCAAATTGTGGACGTGTTTATTGTTATGTTTGTAGTAGTTATAACAAGAGAACGTCAAATTCAGAATTGTTCAGCATTTCATTTCTATTTCATAATTCATTCATTCACTTCATAATCAAGATACCAATCCGCGATGCAATTAGATGCAATTAGTGTCGCATTCCGAGGCATAGCGGCGATTTCTGCCGCCCGGAGCCAACCTTAAATTTGCTTTCGCCTTCATTTTCACGATTACAAAATTACTTAGTTCGTTCGGGCAGGCTCGGCCCGATTGTATTTTTATGTTCGTCTGCCATCCATCGCCACCTTTGTGTTGTTCAAGATATCGTTTTTTACTTAGGTACGAAAAATCATTTTGACTAATTTAGTTATTATAATAATTAATATTATAATAATATTTAATTATATTAGCGCTCGCCGCCGCCCGGAGTCATGGACCCCTTTCTACCCCCAGCAACGCCACTGACTACATTTAATTAAAATTATTTCAGTGTAGCACTAGAATACTGTGATGAAAACCTTATTTTTTGCAAATTTTGTTTACAACCTGTAGGTATAACTAAAATAAGGCTGTAACGACTTTAATGAATTTACTCGCCGAACAGGCGGGAGTTGCCCTACCTGCTCTTATTATACCATGCCCATACCCAGCAGTGGCAGCGGATGATGATTGTAAATGAATATCTAGGTGCTTGTGTTAGGCTGCGAATATTGAATAATGATTAAAAAATTCTTCGTACTTGTCAAGTTTTTGGGTATGAATTTCCGTGCAATTTGTGTAACACGACAATGCTAATTAACATCTAAATAAGATTCATACTCTTACAGTGGAAAGTGCAGATACTCGGGTACTTCAATTTTTGTTCATGTTTTATGAAATTTACATAGTAGGGAGTAAAAATTATTTTAATGGACCAGCATTTTAGTAAAATTTTCAAAAGAATAATTAACTGTGTTCGGTCGCTCCAACAGACCACTTGGTCGCTACTCATTTATTATTAAAGGCTAATTTAGAAAGATGGAGGCGGTTCCAGTGACCGTGACACGTGAGATAAAAACCTACCGGAGGCTATTGGTCGTGTTCGTCGGCCCTTTCTAATTTAAGTTTCAGGCGCCTCCATAATTTAGCCTCCTTATCTTCTCGTCTGGCAATTGCGAATACGAGCTCTTTTTGTGTCCTTTGTACTTTGTACAATTGCCAAAAATGAGTTTGTTCGAGTCACATGTTCCTTCAAATACATACACACACATGCATAGAACTATGATTCAATATTGAGTTTGCCACAAATACATATTGATAATAAAAAATACATGTACAGACAGGTAATGTAAATAATAGAGACATTTTTAAGATAAAAAAGGGCGAATGAACTAACTCTACAATGTATTTACTCACATACTTTTGTTCGAGACGTCTATTTAGTATTTTGTTGAAACAAATAAGTGTAAAAATAATTCATGTGGGGATTGAATCAAGTTATATTTATGTTAGTTACCCACGAAATAAGTACTTACCAAAAGAAGCAATCAAGGAAATACCGACTGGCACGTTAATTATCCAAAAAATATCGCTTTCATCCATCCAGCACCTGTGAACACGTTAAAACGTACTCAAACATTAAGTCTCTATCATTACTTACACAAGTCAGGCTTAACATAGCCTAAGATACTCGTAATACTATAGATACTTTAGTAGCACCAGAGCTCCTTGTGAAAGAGTTCGTCCAGGGTAGTACTGCCACCTTACCTATTTCTGCGGCCAAGCAGTAATGTCAGCATTACTGTGTTCCGGTTTTGAAGGATAAGGGTGCTGGCGAAATTACAGGCACATGGGACTTGTCAGCTTATGTCTCAGGGTGACAGGCGCAGCGGTACTGCCCTTCAAATCTTTGCAATTTAAAGCTCAGAGTGGCGCTGTAACTGTTATGAACGGGTCTAGCTTACCATCAGGGGCACGACTTGTTTATCCCGTCACTTGATGTTATAAAAAATACTTCAACTTTCAGGTTGAACACACTCTTGATGAAATAATGAAAGGCTTAATGATAATTAACCCTAGATAAAAAGGAGAGTTATAAGTTTGAAGCCTTTGTCTATGTATCCTGTGTGTCTTTCAGATCGTCATCTGTCTGCAGCATCGTAACTTCCAAACGGACAGACCGATCTCGAAGCTGTTTTTTAATTTGAATAATGGCTTAAACCGGATGATTCTCAGCTACGTTTGATAAATATCTGGTCAACTGTTTAACGGCTGTTTTTCCAGTAGTTCCCAGCCTTAACATATTCATTTACTTTAATCTACTCGTCCAATTGACGTCACGTTCGGCACACTATGTAAATCCGATACGATATTAATATGTAACCTTGAGAAACCTTGATTTGATGCAGTAATCTGGACAGCCTGCGGAGAACTAACACCCCGACTATTTACTGCAGAACTAATGTATTTGGACTCATTGAATTGGCCTCCACCAGTAATTTGTTTCCAAATTGTCACTAAGGTCTGAAGAAGGAGATGGAAGGGAAATACGTTTAATGAACCTTGAACTCAGTTTTATTGGACGCAGATACACCGAGCTAGGTTAGGTTAGACATTATGGATTGACACCTACTTGACGATTTGATACTTGTAGCCCTTTTTGAAACTAAAACATTTATTGAGCATATATTATTCGTCAATTCTTTCTTACATATTATTTATTTTTGAAACTGAAATAAATATTAAGCAGCTATGAGGTGTTTAAATTAAAGCAACCGCAATTTGCACCAATTTAGCAGTCTTAACTCTATTAAAAAGTAAAAATAAGATATTATTTCTCCATAAGAATAATTAGGAACTATACAAGTCGTAAAGTTGCTTGCAGGACAACCGTAAAGAAAATTTTACTGCGAACTATGAGCGAATTTTATGTTTTAAATTTTATTTCAAAGGAAAGTAGTGGAAATGCGAATTCGATGTAGAGAGGTGAACGATTTTATAATATGATTTGCATAGAGAGGAGTTGCGCATGCTTCGCTCAACTTTATAACTTTTTCGCTTTGCTTGTAGAATAATAATTATCATTAACATTTTGCAATACCCAGTATTGCAAAATGTTAATGGCAATACTGTATCATATAAAAATCACATTGCAATCGAATCATCCGTAGGTCAGATGAACAGATAGAGAGTCTGCGATCTGTTTTTTAAGCTGGGAATTAAAAATACAATTCTTCGCTTAGCTTTAAAAGTTTTCACTATATTTGGTCATGAAACATATAATATCATGGCTTCCAAATTGTCAAGACTCTTGCGTACTTACCTCTCAGTGGCTCCTGGAATATTGTGCCGTACTGTAGCATACGTGACCACGATGATGAGAGATACTCCCCAGCCTAATGCGATGAACCACCGCATAGCGACCTCGTCCTTCACGAATACCTAATCACGACCATAATTTTGATATAATTTTTTGTTTACTAAATAAGGTATAGTGTTGTATATAACAGTGGGCCGTAATAGGTATATGTAACAAGCACCTAATGCTTTTTTTCGGTAAGGTTTACGTACGCTGTTCGTGTATCTATGGATATTTGAGACTTGTGATCAATAGGAAACTGTCTGTGTGTCAACAGAACTAAATTTGTAATTGAAAGGTTTTGGCCCACACTGAAAGAAACCAAAGCCGGGCACAACATTCAAATAATTTTAGTTAATTAACTCACAAGTGAAGCATTAGGTGTGAGTTTACAAAAACATGATGAAACATAGACAATTTTGTACAAATCACGAGCCACCACCCATAGCCGGAGTGAGTTTTTTTTTAATAATAATAACGCACACTCTCAACATAGCCCCGCACTATGGAAACCCTGTGTCGCGGGTGCCATGGACACACATATAGACAACCACAAATTACACCCAAACTCACGAGAGAAATAAATGTAGGCCATACAAATATTTCTCGCGGCCCGGGAATTGTATCTGGGACCTCTGCGTGGCAGTCAGGCATGGTAACCGTTCGGCCACGGAGGCAGTTAGAAGCCGAATTTACATTTCAGGAGAAATCATAAATAAAGATCAAGAGATCTGGTAGAAAGTATTTTGTACAAAGCAAACTGTTATAAGTTCTTTAAGAACTACGGAATTTTTAAATTTTTTTGCTAGAGTTGTAAACCAGGCTGTTAGAGTGTGTAGGCCTTACTAACTTTACAACGTAGGAAAGCTAAATTTAATAATCATACAATTTCTTCTTCTTTCTTCTATCTTATCGTCTCACATTACGAAAGTGCATATATGTAAGTTCAAGCGATATACATTATATTGAGGTATTTGTAGCCTTCAAACACTTGTAATATCTTTCTACATTTAAAAAACTACTTTTGGAGTTTAAAAAAAGAAAGACACTAAAGTTTTGTAAACGTAAAGCAGAACCTATCGTTACGTTTAAATGCCTCCGTGGCCAAACGGTCACCGTATTGGTCTGCCACGCAGAGAGCGGCCCCGGGTTCGATTCCTGGGCCAGGAGAAGATACAGGATTTCCCTAGTGCGGGGGTATAAGTGAGCGCGTTATGTCGGAATTATTTCCTGTAGTTGGTGAACCCTCCTGGGTATGTTGCACATGACTATTCCCAGACGAACTTTGAAATTTAGTGTCAATGTTAACGGAATGCGACGTTCAGCATGGATTGAGGTCGAATTATGCAGGGTTTCCTTCGTTTCAAGTAAAATTTCAGCTTTTTGTAACGCCCTATGCAGCGATGGATTGTACGACATACGTTGAGTGTAGGTTTTATCCTGCATTATTAAAACCTTTGTCAGCTTTCGTTGTGTTCTGTGTGTACATAACGTGTACGTAATTATGTGAGATTACCCTTGTTATGTATAACACCATTCGTGAACCGATTTTGGCGATTCTTTTTCTGTTGGAATGAGGGTACCTCAGTAGTGATCTCATTTAAATTTGAAGAAAATATTCCACCTCAAAGGGGAAAATATTCCACCTAATTAGGGGATGAATGACTTTTGAGGTCGGTTTTTTATTACTCTGTACAGAGATTATCCTTTGTAACTTCTAAAATTATTTTATGCTTTTAATATATTTTTATTTCAGACCGCGGCTAGGGCCTGTTCAACTAGGCATAACATCAAATGATCTCAAGTCTACATGAGTGCCAATGGTAGGATATTGTACGTTTTCTATTCTGTTAAAAGTTAAGAGTAGTGCCTTGTCAACGGTTAGCCACCGAGCTACTTACTATTATTCAACTGCCATTATAATTTTTTGGTATTCTGCTCTTCAATGGTGAGTCGTTTGTCTCGCCGGCTAATAACATTGTGTTTGAAGACTGAATTGCTTATTAAACAAGATGAAAATTAAGATATCAATAGAAATTTCCATGATAGTTTTAGTAACGCAACGTTTCGACATTAGTGATGGAATGAATGAATTTTACTGACACTATTGAGATTGAACTGCCGTTGGAACTAGATTTTAGCAGAATAACAAATTTTATTATAATTGCAATATAATCTCTGCGGTTATTTTCGCCAAAGAATAAGTTTAGTAGCTATCCAAAAGGGAAATTTTGCTAGTGGTTGCCAGCCTTCTGGGCACAATGCCCCATCGTGGAACTCTCGACGAAATTTTCTGCTTATAAACATACATTATTGTAAGTTTTATCTAGTATTATTATTCTTTAAATGCCTTGCAAATTTTTATTTTGTGAAATTAGAGGCGCATGGTATTAGTCAATTTATGTCTTAGGGTGACGTCCACCTTCCAATCATCTTGGATTCAATCGACAAGCGTGTCAAGAGGCTTGTAGGTGACTCCGAATTAGTGGAGGCGAAGCTGCAGAGCCTTGAACACTGCCGTAAAGTTGTCTGCTTATCGGTATTCTACAAAATATATCACGGAGAGTGTGGGATGGAACTGCATAATTTGATTCCGCCTTCCCCTTTCCATCACCGGGGGACTAGACGTGGGCTGGGATTCCACCCTGAGCGAGCGGCTAGAGAGTGGAATTCTCTATCTGCGGACTTATCCCACGAACTTAGACCTTTTCAAGGCGAGAGTGAATAGGTATTACTTAGGTGTGCATGCTGCATCGTCGATCTCATCATCACTTTCCATCATGTGAGATGGAGGTCAAATGCGCACTTATTTTTTATAAAAAAAAAACGTGCGCATTGGCAGTGCCCCTCAGATCATTGCACTGCAACTGCAACTGCTGTAGACAGGCGTGTAGGCTTTCCATCTGGCTCACTTCTTGCTCGTCCCGTCACTTGATTATTAAAAAAAAATCTACTGGTGGTTTGAAGAAAAGTAGCATATTTGGGGCGAACCAGGTGTGCAAATGTCTATTAATTTGTTACTTACCCGCTTCAAGATGTGTAAAACGTGCTTACGTTTATATGGATGCATCTGTGTCACTAATGACGCACACACTACCGCATACACTTATAGTCCCGCACTAGGGAAACCCTCTATCGCGGATGACATGGACGCGCGCATAGACAATCACAAATTACACCCTAACTCACGAGATAAATAAATGTAGGCCAAACAAATATTTATCCCGGCCCAGGAATCGAACCCAGGACCTGCAGCATGTAAACCGTTCTGCCACAGAAATAGTAATGAATGGCAAAAAAGTAATGAGTGGCAAACGAAAAAATCTTACCACAACGAGTGCTATGTGCAAATGCAAACCTTCGCAGAACATCCACACATAGCTGGAGACCATGAAGTATTGAGTGACGACGTGAAGAACTTGACACCAATCCTGTGCAAAAATTACAAACGTTATTTACAGCGGAAAACGCGACGCGAGAACGGTATAGAATTCTAAGGAAATGGCAACTAATTCAATTAAAACTATCCTTAATAATTATAAATGCGAAAGTAATTTTGTTACGTTTTCACGCCCAAACCGGTGAACCAATTTTGACAAATTTTGGCACAGATGTGACCTTGGAGAAGGACAATATTTTGTCGTAACGGTTAATCTTAAGAGGTGTGCAATAGGGGATGAAAGTTAGTATGGAGAACCAACAAAACTATGAAAATAACATAGTACGGCACCAGGCTACTCGATGTACTCATTCTACGCAGACGAAATCGCGGGCACCCGCTAGTTTGTTATAATCTAAAATTATTATGTGATATTTCCGAATATTTCGATGACAAAAAATTGCCTCAACTTAATTTTAGGTATGGGTTATATGATTGGGTTAAAACCTTTTATATTATATTTATTTTTATACGTTAATTAGTATGTTAAATAAAGTTTGCGAAGGACATATTTATTACTTACCTACGATATGCAACAAATAAAGCTACACATAATTATAACACAAAGTAATAATAGGAAAAAAATATATAGGAAGTTACAGTAAGTTTACATAAAAATACGTAGAAAATATACAATTTCACCCCGCCTTTGGATTTTCTTTGGAGTTGACAGAAACTACCGATCGCCATTTTGCACGATCCTGGCAATCTCTTGATTTGTTATATTCATCATCTTTTCCTATATATACGAGTATAAGCTTTATTCCTCTCATTGCACGTATACCAGTGTTTCAAAGAGTATTCGAAGTTCAATCTATAAACTGTCTTTGTGACGACACGCGCGCGCGCGCGCGCACACACACACACACACACACACACACACACACACACACACACACAC